AAAGCACAAAAATGTCAGTATTCACCTCTGAAGCTAACAAAACCTTTAAATAGACTTATTAAGAAGGGATATAGTTACGATACTGTTGTCAGGTCATTAAAGGTTGCATATTTTGGCGTTAATATTGATTCACTTATAGGGTCTTTGCATCGGCACTAAACACATTTATTCTTAAACCAGTTGTTGGCATGACACGGGTTATGTTCTTCTCATATATGTTATGATGGTATGATACTAAACCCCTAACGGGAAGGATTGTGCCTGATATTCATATGATGAAGACATAATCTTCCAATCAGTTAAATTGAAGTCTGGAGCTGGCATGTCAGTTAACTGCTAGTAGTCTGTTGTTATTTATGTATTATTGTCATTTTGTTTATTTTCTTTGGTTACATCTTCTGACATCAGACTCGGACTTCTCTTGAACTGAATTTTAATGTGCGTATTGTTATGCGTTTACTTTTCTACATTGGCTAGAGGTATAGGGGGAGGGTTGAGATCTCATAAACATGTTCAACCCCGCTGCATTTTTGCGCCTGTCCCAAGTCAGGAGCCTCTAGCCTTTGTCAGTCTTGTATTATTTTTAATTTTAGTTTCTTGTGTACAATTTGGAGTTTAGTATGGCGTTCATTATCACTGAACTAGTATATATATTTGTTTAGGGGCCAGCTGAAGGACGCCTCCGGGTGCGGGAATTTCTCGCTGCATTGAAGACCTGTTGGTGACCTTCTGCTGTTGTCTGTTCTATGGTCGGGTTGTTGTCTCTTTGACACATTCCCCATTTCCATTCTCAATTTTATGTTTTTCCGGCTTGGTTTATCTGACCTCATTTTCTTGGATCACATTTATGTTAATGTGATACTTGTAGCAAAACTTTATATTTAGGACTATCAACACAAAATCAATGGTCAATAAAGCAGGCAAGACATTTCATCATGTGTTATATTGATTCAGCACAACTGTTCTAGGAATTTTTGTACAGCCACTAGTTGCAGATGGCAATTCAACAAAAGCAGATATTAGGCATCTTGAAGGATATGAAAAAAATAAATAGTACTATGTTTTTAGCTCGCCTTGACCAAAGGGCTTTTCTCATCACTTGGCATTAATGTCATCCTTATAAACTTTTACAAACATCTTCCGTGAAACTAATTTGCCAAATGGAACCAAACATAACCACAATCATCCTTTGGGATTCAACATGGCCGCCAAGACTAAAAATGGAACATAAGGGTATTATTGTTTATAAAAGCATCCTGAATTATCTTTATCAAGGAGCTCTTGATCAGGTGTATCCATAAATATAAGTAATGTAAATATTTACCCTCATGTAATGTGGCATTGCTCTGTAGTTTCACTGATTGGTTTCAATTTGTCAACCAAATTATCATATCTGTGTAGATATATATATAAACTTATTGAACAGATGATTAGGAAAAACTGATTACATAATTTTTGTCGAGCCTGCGACTTTTGTCGCAGAAAGCTCGACATAGGGATAGTGATCCGGCGGCGGCAGCGGCGGCGTTAGCTAACTTTTTAAAAGCTTTATATTCTAGAAGGTGGAAGACCTGGATGCTCAATACTTTGTATATAGATGCCTCATGTTACGAAGTTTCCGTCAGTTACATGTTCAATGTCCTTGACCTCATTTTCATGGTTCAGTGACTACTTGAAAAAAACGTTAAGATTTTTTGTAACGTTAAATTCTCTCTTATTATATGTAATAGGATAACTATATTTGGTATGTGCGTACCTTACAAGGTTCTCATGCCGGTCAGACAGTTTTCACTTGACCTCGACCTCATTTCATGGATCAGTGAACAAGGTTAAGTATTGGTGGTCAAGTCCATACCTCAGATACTATGAGCAATAAGTCTAGTATATTCGGTGTATGGAAGGACTGTAAGGTGTACATGTCCAACTGGCAGGTGTCATCTGACCTTGACCTCATTTTCATGGTTCAGTGGTTATAGTTAAATTTTTGTGTTTAGGTCTGTTTTTCTTATACTGTATGCAATAGGTCTACTATATTTGGTGTATGGAATGATTGTAAGGTGTACATGTCTAGCTGGCAGGTTTCATCTGACCTTGACCTCATTTTCATGGTTCAGTGCACGTGGTCAAAGTTAAGTTTTTGAGTTTTGGTCTTTTTTTCTATTGCGAACCCAATGAAAGTTTTCCACAGTGCCATCTCTATCTTGACCAGGTATTTAAACTTTTGCAAGTTCACCTGTCCTATTGAATGAATACAATAGCTATTTTTTCTGTGTAGTTTATTCACTGGGACCTTTAAATTTCTTCTAAGAGAAATCTATCATTCATTGATTAAATTACCTGTGTAAAAAAAAATTCTTATATATAGACAAAAATACTTTTTTTATACTCATTAATTGTGTGTGCTGATGTATTTATTCAATATTAATAATATATTTTCATTCAGTTTAATATAAACATTGATTCAATCATAAAAATTTGATTTCTAACAAAAGTTTTATCAATGTTCCTATTGAAATTTGATTTTTTTTTGTTTAGTTATAGAATACATTTAAGAAGATCTTAATTTGAAACATCATTATTTTCAAGTTCTTATTCATGTCAAACAAATTTTTTTTTAAAAGGAACAATGTTGAAAGTTTTGTCAGAAATCAAATTTTTATGATTGAATCAATGTTTATATTAAACTGAATGAAAATATATTATTAATATTGAATAACTACATCATCACACGCAATTAATGAGTATAAAAACAGTATTTTTGTCTATATATAAGAATTTTTTTTTACTCTGGTAATTTAATCAATGAATGATAGATTTCTCTTAGAAGAAATTTAAAGGTCCCAGAGAATAAACTACACAGAGAACAATAGCTATTGTATCTATTCAATAGGACAGGTGAACTTGCAAAAGTTTAAATACCTGGTCAAGATAGAGATGGCACTGTGGAAAACTTTCATTGGGTTCGCAATAATACTATATGCAATAGGTCAACTATATTTGGTATATGGAAATATTTTATGATCTATATGTCGGTCGCACAGGTTTTATTTGACCTTGACCTCATTTTCACGGTTCATTGCTCAGTGTTAAGTTTTTGTCGAGCCTGCGACTTTTGTCGCAGAAAGCTCGACATAGGGATAGTGAGGCGGCGGCAGCTACGGCGGTGGCGTTAGCTTACTTCTTAAAAGCTTTATATTTAAGAAGGTGGAAGACCTGGATGCTTCATACTTTGTATATGGATGCCTCATGTTACGAAGTTTCCGTCAGTCACATGTCCAATGTCCTTGACCTCATTTTCATGGTTCAGTGACTACTTGAAAAAAAAGTTAAGATTTTTTGTAATGTTAAATTCTCTCTTATTATAAGTAATAGGATAACTATATTTGGTATGTGCGTACCTTGCAAGGTCCTCATGCCTGTCAGACAGTTTTCACTTGACCTCGACCTCATTTCATGGACCAGTGAACAAGGTTAAGTTTTGGTGGTCAAGTCCATATCTCAGATACTATGAGCAATAAGTCTAGTATATTCGGTGTATGGAAGGACTGTAAGGTGTACATGTCCAACTGGCAGGTGTCATCTGACCTTGACCTCATTTTCATGGTTCAGTGGTTATAGTTAAATTTTTGTGTTTAGGTCTGTTTTTCTTATACTGTATGCAATAGGTCTACTATATTTGGTGTATGGAATGATTGTAAGGTGTACATGTCTAGCTGGCAGGTTTCATCTGACCTTGACCTCATTTTCATGGTTCAGTGGTTATAGTTTAGTTTTTGTGTTTTGGTCTGTTTTTCTTATACTTTATGCAATAGGTCTTCTATATTTGGTGTATGGAATGATTGTAAGGTGTACATGTCCAACTGGCAGGTGTCATCTGACTTTGACCTCATTTTCATGGTTCAGTGGTCAAAGTTAAGTTTTTGAGTTTTGGTCTTTTTTCTTATACTATATGCAATAAGTCAACTATATTTGGTGTATGGAAATATTCTATGATGTACATGTCAGTCTCGCAGGTTTTATTTGACCTTGACCTCATTTTCACGGTTCATTGCTCAGTGTTAAGTTTATGTGTTTCAGTCTGTTTTTCTTAAACTATAAGCAATAGGTCAGCTATATTTGTTGTATGGAAGGATTGTAAGCTGTTCATGTCTACCTTGCATGGTTCATCTGACCTTGACCTCATTTTCATGATTCATTGGTCAATGTTTAGTTTTCTTGGTTAAGTCTCAGTTTCTTAGAAACTATAAGCAATAGGTCAACTATATTTAGTGTATTGAATAATTGTAAGGTGTACATGTATTTCTCGTTTGGTTTATATGACCTTGACCTCATTTTCTTGGATCATGTTAAGTTTATGTAATAGTTGTAGTAAAGCTTTCATTTAGGACTATCCACATAATATAAATGGTTAGTAAAGAAGGCGAGACATTTCAGCGTGTGCACTCTTGTTGTGTTATGGTCTGTTTTTCTTAAACTATAAGCAATAGATCAACTATATTTGTTGTATGGAAGAATTGTTAGCTGTACATGTCTGCCTGGCATGGTTCATGTGACCTTGACCTCATTTTCATGGTTCATTGGTCAATGTTTAGTTTTTTGGTTAATGTTAAGTTTATGTGACAGTTGTAATAAAGCTTTATATATAGGACTATCAACATAATATCAATGATTAATAAAGAAGGCGAGACATTTCAGCGTGTGCACTCTTGTTTGAATGTTAATGATTTCATTATATTTAACTTTATAGTGTACATCATAAAGATGAGTTAATGAGGTAAACAGAGTTGTTTGGCATTATTAGTTCCAGACTTGCTTGCTTATTAATGTCATACAAAATCCAACAGTACCTCTGATTTCAAAATGGATAAAATCTTATGTATGAATATAGTACACTTTCATTTCAATACTCTCTTTGAACCAGTGACCTGAATATATTTTGTATTGCAGCCATAAAGCCAATGGAATACTATGCCTATTGCAACTGTCATTATATTTTCCAGGAAGGTGGATTCTACGTTGAATGTGGAGCCTTAAATGGAGAAAAGGGTTCAAATTCCTTGTTTTTTGAAAGAGTTCGCAAGTGGAACGGTTTGTTGATAGAAGGTGATCCAACTAACTATGCTGAATTGAAGAAGATAAACAGAAAGGCATTTTCAATAAATGCATGCATCAGTCCAAGGGCAACACCATTTAAGGTAAACCATGATGTATAATATTAGTCACTTTCTCAAAGCTAAATGGTCTACAAAAGTAATTAAGTGGTTGTATTGGACCTTTTAGTCGAGTCTGCGACATTTATGTTGCGATAGCCAGACATAGCGATCCTGGATTCCTTTATCGGCGGCATCAACATTAGGTTCAGTCTGTGGTCAAATTTTTTTAGACATCAATAACTTTGTCAAACCTTCATGGAATGTTATGAAATTTGGAGAAAAGGTTGTATATGACCAAAAGACAGTATCCAGAGCTAAATTTTGAAAATATTTATTTTCATTTTTCAGTTTATTACTGATAAATGGACTTAGTTTTTTTTTCAAAGTTAACATTCAGATTTAGTCTTTTTTTTTCCCATTACAGATTTCAGAAATTAAAAAGAAAACTTCTTCAAATATTTTTTTTTTTTTGTTAAAATAAAAATGTGTGGGGTGAATTGTATATCACAAAAGCAAAAAAAAGGGGGGTAAATTGGGGGGGTGCAATTTGCAACATTCGCAACAGCATAGTGTATTGCACAAAAGCAAAAAATTGAATATTAATTCAAATCATATAACCAATTCTAAGTTCTTTGACTACAGTTATTCTGTGTCAAACATTTAATTTCAATCCAAATTCAGACCTGTATCAAGCACGAATATTGTGTCCATTTTTGCCCCAACTGTTCAGGGTTGGACCTTTGCAGTCGTATCCAGCTGCGCTCGGCGAAGCAATTTATCTACAAAGGATCTACATATAATGTTGAAGGGGTGGCAAACATGGCATTAGTGGTGGCACATAGTACCCTGTGAAAGGAAGATCATACTTTCTTTTCTTCTCTTAATCTACAATGGCGAATTTTAACCAAATTTGACAAAATTTTTGTACAGAAGGTTCTGTCGAAATGATGATGATTGTAAACTGTTACAACACTAAATTTCTGTCGCTATCCAACATACCCCAATGTTCCAGTAGCAGTCCAAATTATCCAGACTTCAGCCTAGTTGACCTTGCAGAATATTTTATTAATTGTAATTTGTTTTCATTCTGAATATTCAAGAAATATTTACTACTGGATTTTAAGCCAACAACAATCAATCTAATCAGTGGCGGATCCAGAGGGGGGCGTAGAGGGCGTATACCCCCCATTTGCTTGCACTTTTTTTTTTTTTTTTGTAAAATGATTAATCAGACTAGACTTTGCCATTTCCCGTGTATTTAATTTTTATGTGACAATTCTTTACTTATAAAGATATTTTTCGCACGTATTTACTGTAATATATTATTGATTATGTCAAAGTCATGTAATTCTCTACGGTGAAGTTGACCAGTTCGTCGTAAAAAAAACGTCACTCAGTCATTTTGAAATTCAAATTACAGTAACACATTGCTTAGGCTGAGGATGACAAGCATGACGCCTTCAAAGCGACAAAGTATTGAGCAAGAACGTATTGACTTCTATTTCACAATTCCACCCAACAGAAAGTAATACTCTATTACACTCTCATGAAAAAAAAAGTTCCACAGCAATATTATTTACCTACGAAAATATGTTTAACCCCACACGCCCCAGCCCATTAATAACATTGCTGAATAGTGATCCCCAATCAGTAAGCTCTAGATATAGATTTAAAGTCTAAGGTACGGAGGGGGCAGTCAGAGATATTTTAGAGAAAAAATTCTGACCCTTATTTTTGCCTTAAACAAAAATTCTGGCCGTATCTGGATTGAAAACAATAATCTTGTCCACTTTTTTGCTATTAGAAAAAAATATTTTCAACAGAATTATTTAGCATTAAATGAACATGATGAATAAAAAACGGGCGTAATTTTCTTTTGGGGGGGGGGGGGGGTTGCATGTGAATCCCATATCTGACCGGAATGTCTGTTTCGCCGAACTGATATACTGAATAATTTTTTCAAGGCCCGACTGCAACCTGCCTGCTGGGTGTGGCCTATATGTCTCCATGTGTCGACCGTCATTCACAACTTCATTGTCATTTCCGTCTAATTCGTAGCCTTTGGTTGATTTGGAACCCCTCACTTCCCTTGTTGGGTAAAACATTTCAACCAAACATTTGGATGAAAATTGCTTGTTTGTCTTTCTTCGTGTCGGTCATATTGTAAATTTCATTGAATAGCCGTATATCTTGTTTACAAAATGAAATCTGTGAGGTTATGCTAACTAACCATACAACAAACGAGAATTTTCCATGTCCATTTTTTACTGACAAATCCCACATCAAATATATTAATTAGTACATAGCTTTGAATCCATCCAATCATTTCATAATAGACAATTGATGGAGAGAATACAGCACCAGAAATGTCCAACCCCTACACTTTAACTATAAAATGCATTTTACACTTATTTTATGTTTTTTAGCCAAAAAAAGGTCCAAAAAAATTGTTCGCCTCGATCCGATCGGCAAACTTTAATACTACGCCCCCCTTTCCAAAATCCTGGATGCGCCGCTGCTAATTATGATCTGTTTGGATTCAAAACATGGGCTTCATAGATATTCATTTTCATAATCCTTCTCCCCTCCCAGAAAATCAAATTGGTATCCCGTAAGTTTCAAAACAGAATGGGTTTGATAAAAAAAAACTTTTGCTACTATAACTGTTAATGCAATTGCAATGCAAGTCTTAATTGTATTGAATTATCATTTGATATATATAACAATATCAGTCTTATTTGTTAAAATGTACTACAAAAAGGGAAGTCCGGTGAATGAACCCCACTCCCCTGTAACCCCTCCACCCACTCCTTTTAATTAGGCGAAACAGAATTAACAACAGTCTTTTATTTTTCTATCTTGAAAATAAAAAGTTGTAAAGTTTTTCTGATGTTTAATGTCCTTCAAAGGAATTAAATATTCTTAGTTGTCAGTTCCTTTGCGGATTTTTTTTATTGAATTATATTTTAGGCACTGAGCATTCATTTTTTGAGGGGGCCTTGTTTTTTTCACAACAAGCTATTTTTCCATAACATATATAAAATGACAAGAATATTATTTTGAAATGCAATGTATTATTCATTTTCCCCCTAATTTTCAATGGAAACAAAGTATTTTGTTCACTTCCCTTCTAAAAAAGGAATTAGTTAATTTATCTATTCAAGAAATTTAAAATAAAAAAACACATTTAAAAATAACACTCTGACAAAAGATGAATGACTGGTGTTTAATTCGCCCCTACAACAATTGAAATAACAGTTATTAGAAGTATAACGACATATGAATATATTTAGGATAATTAGGTTAAAGAAACAATTTTTTTGTCTTTCAAGACAGAATGTCCAATTGCAATAAGGCTGGTACGCAATGATGACATCTGAATGAAATTAACGACATATGTTTTAGAATATTTTGCTATGTAGTTTAATTGGTATATTTGTAAGCTGATGTCACCTTTGTTATTATCTATATAGTTATTTATATTATCTTTACATTACAATATATTGCAAGACACTGTACAGAAAACAAGTTGTTGTTTTGCAATTCGCTGTACAACGCCCTGCAATTCGCTGTACAACGCCCTGCAATTCGCTGTACAGTAAACAATAGCTGTTTAGGTTCATATTCTTTAGAAAACATCTTTTTGAATGCGAATTTCAGTAAATGTGAAGTCACACTATCATAATCTAAAAAATTTGTCTGGAAAGAAAAGGAAAAACAGTTGAATACCTGGCCAGTGGGACATTGGAGGGTGATCGACCTTGAAATATTCTGGTACCAAGTGCACTGTTTTGGAGTATAAATCAAAATTGACAAAGCTTAATATGACTATTCCTATTATATGAATAGGGAAAACTGTCAAGCTAGACAGCTTTCAAGATGGCAAAAAAGAGTTGTTGATTGAATGGTATCAGTGTTTTATTTGTAATAAATTACCTGTAAAGCTGTGCATTTATTACAGATTTCCTACTAAATACCTGTAAATTATAAGTTCTGGTATGGGTATAAGCATTTAACAAATTCAAAATTGTAGTAATTTAAAACTCAATTATTGCAATAATGTGTTTAATTAAAAAGAAAGTTGAAATTTTCAGCTTACTCAATGTATAAATGCTACACACAATTCACAAGCTTTTGAAAAGAATTGTAGTAAATTGAACTGGATGTTGGAATGTGATATTTTTTTATATAAAGTATGAGATTCTCAAATTATGCAATAAAAGTAAGATTCTTTAATAGTTGGTGTAAACAACCTGACTGATCCATCATAATTGTAAACTGTAGCACTTTATTCTTCAATTCATCTCACCTACTTGTATAGTCAGTTCAGCTGAGAATGATATCGATGTTGTTTTACTTTTTCAGGCCAAGTTTCACAAAGCTTTCAACATGGGACGTGCTATCCATGATGAACAATCTGAAAACTGGGTAAAAAGAATTCATAAAAATAAAGATTTAGTAGAAATAGAATGTTTCCCATTATATTCTTTGATGCTAGCATTGAACAGAACAACCATCGATTTCTTCAGTTTAGACGTGGAAGGGGATGAAGTTAATGTTCTAAAGACAATACCATTTGATAAGCTAAATATAAAGATGATGACAGTAGAATATGCACATGGTGGAGCAGGTGGTGCTGATATGCAAAGGTTTCTACAGAGTAAAGGTTACGAGGTTGTTCTCAAGGTTTCCAAAGATAACTGGGGTGTCAATGATTTAATCTTTAGAAAGAAAGGTGTAGCTGATGGAAGTACCATTTAAACTTCAATCAATATTGTTAAACTAAAATTTCATGAACAATTTGTTTAAAAATCACAAATTTATTTATAAGATCTGAGACGAAGGATAAGCAAAATTATGATTATCAAAATTTATTTTATTAATCATAACCTTTCTTACATCACAAATTTAGCTAAACAGTCATTTTGTTTCTCCTGTGCAGCAAGCAAGACTCATTTACAAGTACATAGATCTTATTGCTTGATCCTTTATAGATTTGGGTCATACCGGGGATACTTCCCTTTATATGTTTTCTGCAAATTCTTTTTCAAATACTAAATCTTTATAAAAATTGACAGTATACAATTTAATGTATGTACTTGAGATTGTGTCAAAGTCATGCAATACTTCTTATCATTTAGTCAAATTTCATTGCCTAAAGATCATATAGAATTGTTTTTAAGGGAATTTAGATATGTATTTTAAAATTCATAGGAAGTATATGTTTTGACATCGCCAAAAATACTGCAAACCACATTTACTGCTGTAAATTCAGAAATTTTTGCATGCATTTATTTTTTGAGCAATTGATAAACATGGGAGATTAATTTATTTTAGAAATATTGCATACAAGTAATGCAGATTGCTAACATAATAATATGTATAGTAAATGTCAAATTTTGCATGATTTTCTAAAAAAAAGTAATTGTTGCAAAGTTTTGGAGAATATTAATATATTATTTATGCAACATACTTTCTGTAAAAATATATGTAGTCACATCAAGAGCTTTGTCAAAGATATCTGAATATTACATTTAATGTATGGTTGATGATCCTGTCTAAAATATAATTCAAAATATTTTTAAAAAGGTTATAAATTTGTTCCTTCAACATATTACTTGTTGTTTAATATAGCCAAAAGGGAATATTGATTAAGAAATGCAATGATATTGACTTATATTGATATCTGAGAAGCTACTAATAGTAAACAAAATGTCCTTATCATACGTTCTCTGATGATCTTGGAATCCTTATAAATTATAAGGTCATCAGGTATAAACAAAATTTACCAATTTAATAGACAAGAGAGACATGTCTTGTCTCAATTAAATACTCAGGTTTTAATGCTACTTATTAGATTTATTTTATTGTCTGTTAGTTAAAATTATTTTGTCATGTCTGTTTTTTCATTGGTTTTGCATCAAGTCTTTCTTTTTAAACAGTGCCAGCTAGTCTGCCAGTAAGAGAAAAAAAGGTACTTTAAAAGTCCAATTAAAAAATCATAAAGTAAACATATAATGCACTTTGACCCCAAAATTATTCTTGTTCCAAATTAAAAATCAGAATGGAATCTAATAATAATGAAGGGTATACATGTGTCCACCTAAAAGTTCTAATATCTTCATTTTCTGAATATTTTGTGGAATATTTTTTATTTTTTAAACATAAATGTATATTATATTCAGAAAAAGGAAGTCAGCTTTTAGAAAATCTTAGCTGGCTCCCAAATAACTGTCCATTAAATATATAACTATTAACCTCAGGTAGTTGTCTACTTAATCTGGAAGAACTGAAAATATCTTAAAACGTGTGTTAGAGTATAGAAGGGTCAAATAGATTCATTATTGTTTAGAAAGTAAAACATGACCACACATTCATCAACATCTAAGTTCATTTTTTTTTTTTTTCTGTTTTTGTTTATTAATTTATTTCCTTGTTGTTTTTTGTGTTCTATTTTTTTCTTCTTCTTTTGTGCCACTTAATTTTTCTGTCCAATTTATACAAATGTTGAAATCATATGTAATGTATGCATGCTCTTATATAGTATTGTTAAATATGTTAAATGGAGAAGACTTCATAAGTCTGTTTGACTTGTGTCTCATCCAATTTGTGTTTAGGCAAATAAAATATGTTTAAATTAAAAACTAAACTAAAACCTAAATCCATTAAAAATCAACCAGAAAATTAATGTGATACAAAATAATGAAATACACAACTTTATATTGTGAATACTACTGTCTTTTTATGTAAATGGTTTTGCAATCACAATTTTGCCCTGTTAAGTGTGGCTGTCTGCTGGATATTGATCTTTGTTTTAAATGTTTTTTGTATTAAATATGTATATTTACTTGTAAGATACTGTTTATTATTAGGAGTATACTATTAATTATTATACTATTGTGTAAACTTAGATGTGGAACTTTACCTTTGTCTGTCGAGATGGGTCGTTATACGAAACCACCAATACTGTTAGATGAAAGAATTTGTCCATTTTGTCATAATGCAATTGAAGATGAGATAGATTTTTTGATTAACTGTGACATTTACAGTGACTTGAGGTTTAATTTTTTGATTAACTGTGACATTTACAGTGACTTGAGGTTTAATTTGTTTCACAGAGCTATGGTCCTGGATAATTCTTTTTTTATAAAGTCAGATTTTGATCAATTTTTATTTTTAATACAGAATGCTGAATTACAGTAAGAGTTATCTAACTTGGTGTATAATATGGTAAAAAGGCATTGAAAAGCAATTTGCACTCTTGATTGTATACTTCTGTAAAAGTCAAAATTACATTTTATTTATTTTTTATGCCCCACCTAGGGGCATTATGTTTTTCGGTCTGTGCGTCTGTTCGTTTGTCCGTTGGTCCATCCATCTGTTCGTCCATCCGTTTGTCCGTCTGTCCCACTTCAGGTTAAAGTTTTTGGTCAAGGTAGTTTTTGATGAAGTTGAAGTCCAATCAATTTGAAACTTAGTACACATGTTCCCTATGATATGATCTTTCTAATTTTAATGCCAAATTAGAGTTTTACCCCAATTTCATGGTCCACTGAACATAGAAAATGATAGTGCGAGTGGGGCATCCATGTACTACGGACACATTCTTGTTTTATTTTATTTTATTCATGTTTTATTTTAACTGAGATTATTTTCATAAACAAGATTATTTCATTTTTTTCTTCACAAACTGTTTATATAACCTCTTTTACATGCATTTTATTTATCTATTAATTTTTTTTACGCCACTCAAATGTGTTGCTTTTATTTAAAGTCTTACTTTTTTTTAATGTGAAAAATTCTGATAATTAACATTATTGACATTTTACTATGTTACACAATTTGTATTTTAGTTATTTAAAAATAGTTTATATATTTGTATGTATAGTGTCTCATAAATATAAGCCTACTTAGGCTGGGTATTTGTCTTATTTTATTACTGTACAATGTATATTATATAATTTGTATAGCTTTGTAGACAAATATGTGACACTTTAATAAAATAAATTATTATTATTAGTATCATCAGATTAATCAATGTAATTTTTATCCAGACTCAGTTATACAAACATTAATGATTTGTGAAAAAGAAATATGTGAAATCCTTTTTGATATAATGTGTTTTTGTATTCCCTTCTGTGACACATTTTTAATATAATATTTTTTGACAATATTTTGAATCTCGTTATTTTAGATTTTTGTTGTTACTTTTATAGAATTAAATGCATATTTATTTTTTCAAACAAGATGTTTCTTTTTTCTCAAAAAATGATGACTTTTTTTAACCATCTTCCCCAGTTCACCTTAAATGCAGGTTGTCAACCAAGCACATTTCATTTACAAGAAAAAGCCAAGACAGCTTTGCTCTAAATCAGAATTATGTTTCTGCAAATTGGGGCATATTGAACTCTGAATTGGTTCCTTTTTTAAGTAAAGCATTCAAAAGCTAAGTCAGCATGTTCATCTGGTACAAAGCAACATTTTTGCTCACCTGGTTGTCATAATTACATACATTGTGAGCTTGTCTTGAAGAATACATTTGGTATAAAGTTCTATAATAAAAAAAAAGTTACATGTATATTATATATGAATTAAGTTGTAGTTGACCTTATGAATGTGACTTATGATAAACTGACCTTGAACATTGAGGAATGAACCAAAGATATGAGGTATATTAAGGTAAGATGGGTCAAGTTAGAAGGGCATGCTTACCTTATCTTACTTTAATATACCTCATATCTTTGGTTCATTCCTCAATGTTCAATAATTCTATAGACTATAACTGTAAAAAATAAATAAAGATCATTATAATGCTAAATTTAGATATTCATCCATGCGCAATGGAATCAGGTCAAGGTCGTAAGTTCCCTATTAAAAAAATATTCAATGAATACTTTAAAACTGACCATTGGGTTTGTTATTTACCAATGCACTTTGAAAAATGCCAGAGAACCTTCAACAAAACAACCATATTCACATTACAATGATTCTGCAAACCAAAATAAAGATGAACTGTACTATTATGGTAGCAAAGAACCAATTTGACAACAACTCTTAATGAGACTGCAATTTTATTTAAATGCCGGTCAACATGTAATGCCTTTTACATATTATTTTGAAAAATATAATAAGAAACTCTAATTGCAAATGCAAAAATTTTCAGTAATACCAGAGATATGTTTGAGAGGTGAGCAAGAAGAAACTCTAAACCGCAAAAATTATATATCTTGTATAAAAATACATTGAAATTAATGAAATCAATTATTTGATATGGGTTATATAGGGGAAACTTAGTTTTTCTTTATTGAGGAGTCATTAAACATTAGAATGGGTTTTAATTCAATGAGACAATAGCTTTTCATAAATACATCCTAAATATCAAATAAAAAAGGGGGTCACGGTCATTATTTTCTTCAGAATTTTTTTTTAAAAACACAACTTGTCTTATCAAATTCAATATAATTATCTGCCCTTGATTTCGAAGGGATTGTTTTTCTAAAAAATTTAAATAAACTGAATGACACTTAATTTATAGATAGTTTAGTCTTAAACTTTCAAGTTTTAGATGTTTCTTTTGTATGTTGAATGATACTTGGTAAAATATTTTAAAACCCAAAAATGATTTTTGCCACATGCTCAGAAGGGATGCTCAGAAAAAGACACCTGATCTACCTTATTAATTAAGGTAACAGGTACGTAAATGGGCACAATCTCACATATTTTTATGGAATTTTGCAAGCAATTTGAGCATGTGGAACTGCATATGAATATCGAAAAATTACATATGTAACCTTTATACTTTCGAATATATAGAAAGAAGTACAAATGTATAGGATGCACGTAAATATAGAAAAAAAAATTGAAAAAAATTGAAAAACTTGAAAAAATTGCCTTTTCTCAAAAACGTGTCCTACGAATTTTCTTTAAAACTGATATGTTATTGCCCCTAAAATTTTCGTTTTATTGACATGAAAGCTCCAGAAACCAGCGAGTCGTTGTGGTAGGTAAAACATCTCTCACTGCACCTGTCCAATCAGAAGTACCACAGGGCAGTGTACTTGTGCCACTCATGTTCCTACTGTTTATCAACGACCTACCGGACTACGTACAGTCATCAACAATAAGTTTATTTGCAGATGACTACATACTGTACAGAAGGATCCAAAATTATGCAAACTCAAAACTACTCCAAGAAGACATAAATAACCTGCTCAGATGGGAACCTGATTGGCAAATTGAATTCCATCCCAGCAATTGCCAACTTCTAAGCGTAACCAACAAGTGCAAACCACATCCCAAAAGTTCTAACATTCATGGTCACAATTTAGAATTGGTTGATTCAGCAAAATATTTAGGTGTAACAATCAATAAAACCATTAATTGGAACACACACATAGAAAGCATAGCTAAAAAGGCAAATTATACTAGGGCCTTCATCCAAAGAAACCTGCACCAATGTCCACAACAAACAAAAGCTGTATGCTACACAACGCTAGTATGCATGCTCAATTTTGGACCCGTTCAGGTTTGTTATGAACGACTACCGACAAACCAGCAGTGTAACATCAATGCTAAAAACTCGAAAGTGGCAACCACCAGATGAGAGGAGGGCCAGATGTGAAGCGGTAATGATGTACAGAATAGTATATGGCCTCGTAGCAATACTGACGCTAGAGCTACATAATACATCACCAGTAGCTACGTCCTTGAAATAACATTTCTAGCGACGACGTCATGATCATTTTTGCCAATTCGGCGCTACTGTCACCGCCTTTGAGGTAAGTAGTCGTATTGGTGTCTATCAGCTCGTTCTGGATACGATAGAGCATGCATAGCCTGTTAATACGGCCTCTTGTCTGTAATGAATCTCGTTTTGGCTCTTCTAGCATTGCAGTGACACCACAGGCACTGCATGGTCTATGCACATTCCCCCCTATATTAATTAAGGTATGTAGGAAAAAACATTTTCAGAAACAAGTGCCTGTGCCCCAAGTCGATCCGGCCCCATAATAAAATAATGAATAATCTATATCAACTTCGGAGGATTTGGTGGCATATTTGATTCAGGATAAATGGAATTTGTAAAAGGTATCGATGATTAATGACAGCGAGTAAGTGAAGTATGCCTAATATTGGAGTAACGTAGAAGAATTATTTTAAATCAATACGAAAATGAGTATGATTGGTTCTGTTTGTAAAGCAGCATCAGCATATAAATATGAAGTTATTTTCCATGAAAACTTGGAATAGCATAGGGGAAAAGTGAATAGGTATTTATAATCCAATGGAACATATAATTATGTAATCTTCATAATGACTTGTTTAAATCAAATCATTAGTATAATTGGTTTGTTTATTCAACAATTGTCTGATCGTGAACTATAATTACGCCATTCGTAATCACTTAATTCAATTAAAATCATAACTGATAAAATTTACTTAATCAACAAAGTCTTTTTATGTTGATCTTTTATGTGAAGTTCTAATATTTTTTTTTCTTCAGGTAACAAGAAGAACATCTTCGCTAGCTAAGGGTTACGATCCACTTCCCTCCTCTCCACTCTTGGCGGATTGAGATAGAATTTCGGAGAGACAAGGTAACGATTTTCATTGGTTGCAGTCGAAACTCACTGCATCCAATCAAAAAGCGCTTATAACATGATCACGTGTAAATGTAGAAAATGTATGTAAACAATTGCCACGTGCTTATTGTGCAACAAGTCTTTACATCCCTAAACATACGACTATATTTAGTGACAATTTGAATGTTTTTAATCAACTAATAGAAGTTCCTGTGTATGTTTCTTGCACAAATGCATTAATGTCAACGTATATTTTCGTTTCCTGCTTTACCAAGTGTTTAGAATCTAGACGCTACCGTGTTTTTACCTCCAAATTGAAGAGTTCTGGTGCTACCATTGGTCAAGAATAATGTATTAGGAAAGGGCGTGACTTTAATCTACCGATAGATGGCGCAACATTGTTATCACAAATGTTGGCTTAATCTGCCAAGGGTGGAGAGGAGGGAAGTGGATCGTAACCCTTGGCTAGCGAAGATGCAAGAAGAAGAAATGTACCTTGATTTCTTTTCACCACTGTCTTCTCTGTGTTTTTTTTTTTGTACCATCGAATACTTTTTTTTAAATTTGACAATCTTTTTAATTCAAGAACAGAATGAGATATGTAGAGATAAAGAAAACAAGTAATATGAGTATTCATCATTCTTTATTGCAAGTAAACCGCAAAATAATTACAAAAGCACATTTTCAGACAATTGAAAAAATGCTTAATACTGCCAGAGATATATACACATATATGTCTCTGATACAGCTGATTAATGTTGATGGTACTAAATTCTGTTATATAGATTTTTATTATAATTATGCATACCAAATAGTCTTGAAAACTTGTAATAAAAACATAATAAACATAATTGCTTTATACTGCATAATCATCCGAATTAAAATATTTCATTTTAGAATAATATTATATTTCTTCTGTATGAAATCTTCATATAATTTTGTTAAAAAAACTATTAAAATAAATCTCTAATCTTATGAAAATTAAATATTCAAAGGCCAACCTTTAATTTTTACCGTCCACCTTTTATATTATTTTAAAATTCATAAAAATTTATGAATCACAATTCATATATATCTTTATTTTTATTCCTTATCAATATTTTTTACATCGGGGCCGGATCGACTTGGGACGGAACGACTTTGGGCCGGATCGACGAAATATTTTGCTTAACAAATTAGCTTCATCAGGCGCGTCAGCCATCCAGGTAAAAGCTGATGCTGTAAAGAAATTTTTGCAGCTTATCGTACATGTCCTTTAAATATATTTTTGCAGCTTGTTGTACATTGCGTTTAATAAATCAAAACAAATAATTGTGTAAGTTAAATAGTATGATGTTCAAAATTTATTCTTTTGGTTTTTGATAAAACCGTTTTTCATCTCTCTTATTCAGTAAATCAGGTTCGAGTACATGCTGATGCATCCAAAATCTCTCTCTCAGTTTTTGGAAAGTTTGCTATAGCTTGTTATAGCAATATACTTTTATATCGCATCGGCCTCAAACCGGAAGTTTGACAGACTATCTTACTATGTCTACTCCTAGATAATGTAGTACTAGTGTTTGAATACTAATTCTAGGAAGATGCTTTTGAAATTTAGAGTTACTTCTATTTTGATAAGCTTACAGCTTGAATAAAAATGGACTGAATGTTCACCGACAATTCAAATGAATTCAACTTCATTTTGAAAATGGGAATCACAAAGACTACTTCGCTGATCTGCCCTGCGCGGAAGATAAAATCACATCAACACGAGGCAGCATTTTCTACGTTTAATTCATTGAAAATTAAAACGGCCTGATATTTATTTCGAGGTGTGTGGTGTTTTTTTTTTACATTTATTCATGAAATTAAAGAATTCTTTTTGTTAAGAATATCGTAATCTTTTCAATTTTTACGTTTGTAAATCATCGGGTATTAGGTGTGACCTATATATTATGCATACTTTGAACTGTCAGCCATTTTGTATGTTTATGTTACCTGTATGCTTTCCCACGGGATTCCCCAGACATGCGTGAGATTCATATATGTGAAACTCCCAACGGGATTACAAAAATCCCAGAATAATTTCAGAAGTCTCCTCCCGTCCTCCGGTTGAAGAGAAAATTTCCGGCGCTATTTCTTACTACGATATTTACAAATGTTTATTAAAGACGTAAAAATCCGAGTGTATCGAAAGTATCCTAATATCTCGGCCCACAACAAACTCGGACTATAACAAACTCGGCCTATAACATTATCTGCCTCACAAAATCGGACTAAAACAAAATTCGTATAATTTTTTTTTTATATTAAGTAAAAAAGTCAGAAAAAAACGTAAAC